ATCATGTGTGGGTGGCAGGAGAGCAACTTCCTTCTCAACGGAGGGGTAAGCCAGTGAGTCATTCATGTTCTGAACCAAAAATAAAAACATTTGGAACTTTGCTAAAGAAGTTGATTTATATTCTCCTGGACAGTGATCCTTCTTGATAATTGGGATGGCACTCTAATTTGGACATGCCAGGAAGTTCATACTTCACAAACAACATATCAGTGCATCTTACACACCATCGCTTAGTTTCACTTGCCATGGCTCCCAACTGATTACAGATGTTGATCGTTCACATGAAGTGCTTACTATATTTGTGGGACACGTAGACTTGGGGCCCGGGCACAGACCCAGTATCTCGTCCGCTGGTACCGGTTATTTTGACCTTGTGATCTTGCTTGCCGCAGATCTGATCCATGTCTTCTCCAAGCTGCCGCGTGATCTCAACTTCATTGACCACACCAGCAACATCCGATGGAAGGAGTAGGTGTTTCCTAGGCCTGAACTCCAATTTTTCGTGCGCCGTGGCTTAATGGACACTTATGTCATTGTGAATCTGTGGGTGTAGGTTTCAGAGGGCGAAGCCGGTCATCATCGATCCGGGGCTCTACATGGAGAAGGTGGACGTGCTCTAGATACCACAGTGCCGGAGCGTGCCAACAGGCTTCAAGCTCTTCACCGGTAATAAGGGCATTGCTTTTTTGAGTTTATCCATTGGAACTGCTCTTGTTAAATTGGTAACCCAATTATTTACATGTACTAGGGTAGTAATGTTCTATCTAGGATTTTTTTTCCCATGCATCTGATGACTGTTCACTGTGCATATATACTAGGCTCCTGCAAAATTGTTGTTGTGCCAATTGAAGGAATTTGTTGTAGAAGTTTATTAGTGAATGTGACTGTTCAGGATTTGAAACTGATAGATGTTCATTCATATGTGTGTTATCATGCAACTGAAATTGATTTATTACCATAATAAGATCTTCAAAGTGTTCCTGCGAGCTCCTCAAATTCCTCTCTTTCTGAACTGAAGCTGGGGTTGACCTTTCTTTCTTTCTGATGTGTGCGTGGCAGGAGAGCTAGTTCCTCAATTTCTTGGGGTTCATGTGGAATCGCTCTCTCATGGGTCATGGCGTCGGCCGCCATCATGGCCATTGCGCTAGCAAACGGAGGGGGTAAGCCACTGAGTCACACCACGCCACCACGGACATCTCAACAGATTTGAGTAGTTTTTGATCCTCAATTTAATCTAGTTAAAAACTTCTGAACTTCAAGATTCAAGTTGAGGACAAGTTCCTCAGCTGAACATTTTTGAGCAGTTTCTGTTGCTTGCATACTTCTGAACTCGAGATTGGGTAATGTAACATCGAGCCATGCTAAATTCTACGCCAAGGCGATTGGGATGCCTATTCTCTCTGTATGGATGACCGATGTTGCACTGTTTAGTTTACTTGTGTGTATCTAGTGATGTTTGTTTAGTTTAAACCTTCTGAACTTCAAGATTCAAGTTGAGGACAAGTTCCTTAGCTTCTGAACAATTTTGAGTAGTTTTTGTTGCTTACAAACATACAGTTTGAGATTGTCTAATGTAGTATTTTTTACATCTTGTGTAATTTTTTCATCAGGGGAAGTCGCTTGATTGGCATGACTTAGTTGGCATCATCACCCTACTTGTTATCAAGCATCTGCTTCGTCTACTGTGTTTTCATCTCAAAGGCGCGTGTGGCCGCCGGCCATGTAGGTTCGGCTCAGTCTTGCTGTATTCGTCCAGCTCACCACTGTCACCGATGGCTACAAACATCAAAGGTGAGACCTCTCTCCTTCTTACCCTTTCTCTGGGCACGTGGTCATCGAGGCACGGCTATTTAGGTTTTGGAACAATGATGCCTTGATGGCCATGTATAACATTTGATGGAAAAATGCACTGTGATGCATCTCATTCCACACTGTATCATTGTGTTTAGCTCTATAATTTTGTTTGCTTTGCACATGATACTATACAAGATCTCAACACAGACGTGAGGTCAGTAGGTTTACCATGTAAAGAGACCCAACCAAAGGGAGCTCTCTGGTAGCTACTCAGCTGTGTTGTTGTGGCAGACAACAAAATATTAAAATTACTTTATACAAAGCAAAATAGCGTTAGCAAATGAACTGAGACTGTTTGAGTTGCAGACAACCTTCAAGTTCTCATTATACATTACCAGGATTTTGCCAACGAAAACATGAACGCTTCTTTTGTAACATTAGCAAGGTTTTTTTCAGAGCACATTATGTTAATTATAGCCTGCTGCACAGCATGTTAAAACCAACCATACCGTTCTAAATGACATTTCTTTCTTTGTTATAGGCATGCAAACATCCATGTCCGTCTACGATGGCTCGACGGACTACCTCCAACTGGCCCACTGGCTTGGCTTTCCTCTCAGCGCGATGACAGCCGTTCGGCGGTGGTTGTCGCCCCCTTCCTTGTTTTTTGTGAGTCCCTGGTCTCCTCTCCCTCTACCCCTGCCCTGAGATGGTCTGGCCATTCAGTCGTGTCCGATTGTGGTGCTGGCCAAGCCAATGATTTATGGTTTGGTTGTGTGGTCATGTTGTCTGTGGTTGTGGTATTCTGGGCACCGCAATGTTGTGATCTTGTTTGTTGCGGTTTGATAATCATTTAGGATATTGGCATGCTACTGTCTAGGGTCTAGGGTGTAGACTTGTAGATTTAGTCCGCTGATGTTCCTATGGTTGTTCTCAGTTTGTGTGAAGGCTGACTATGTGTTCGTATGCTTGTCCCTTTGGAGACGCTAATGTATAGGTTTAGTGTGGTTCATACTCATACTCATGATGACACGATGACTTCTAAGTTATGATAGTCCAGAACATAGCTCTTGCTTTTAAATTTGGTTTGGTCAATATTGTCGTAGCTCAAACTACCAAGTGGTGTGTAGTGTTTATATACCGTGAACAGATGGTCAGGGCCAAGGACCTTTCTCGCTTGTATATTTTGTCAGCATGCGCCTCTCTGATTTGTGTTTGTGTCTGTGTTGATTAGAGAGAGACCTGAGTGCGTTTTTTGGGGATGATAGCTAAAGGTGGAAAAAACCTGGGAAGTTACAGGCTGGGAAGGAAGGAGGTTGATACACGCCACATGTACCAAGCTCTTATCCAGCAGTCCTATGCATGTGTAACCGCGGCAGTGGTGGCCGCCTCGTCCTTGGTTCAGGTGAGTCACCAATTGTGAGTAGATGCATGTGCGATGCTTTGCTCATCCAGTGATTTGGCTGGGTATTCAATTACAAGTATCTTCAGTTACTTGGCAGCGGACTAAGACGATTAGTTTGCAATTTTGTTTGGATGAAGTACAATGATCCTGTCTTGTTACTGTGACGATCTTGTTCTCTAAATTGCTCCTCCATGTGCGAATCTGACTGCACGGTGAATGCTACTCCCTCTGTTCCTAAATATAGGATGTTTTTGCAGTTACGTCTTATATTTAGGAACAGGGGTAGTTTACTTGCTAGTTGTTGGTGTGATGTTGTTACCGTTGACACGTTCAGTTTGCTCTCTGTTAGTAATCATGATCATGGCTTTGGTTTGTGAATGGTTAGGCTATGTTAAACTGGGTGTCATGGTTATATCATCTATGTTCAATGCCAGAATGTGGGAATTGCAACTGTTTGCTTAGGTTTTGCTAAATAATCTTAGATGTCTCAACAGTGCCATTCTGCCCTTGTTTTCATGTTATATAAATGTTTGTCAAATGCTCAATATCAAGAAAATCATTGTGGAGAACCTACTAGATGACAAGGGGAGAACATAGCTCTTGTTTTTCCATATTCTGGTTTGGTCCATATGATGATTGTTTACACTGTTTGTTGAGAGTATTTCCTCTGTCATGCATAGAGTATTCGATTCTTCATATTCTGCCATGTTTGCATGCTCTGCCAGGAAGAAGCTGAAGCAGGCAGCTGTGCTTGATGCAGCAGGACGGCCGCCTCGGCCTCGCATGGCTTGGAGCGACGACGAGCTCCGGTGACCTTCCGAAGGCAATGGCGACTACAATGGGTACGGCTTTGGCGATGGCTTTGACGACACCAACTAGCAGCCCCTGCTCTCCCCTGTTCTGTTATGTCACTTATGCTGTATGTATCCCTGTGAAAAGAAGCTACATATCTCTTCTTCCTATGTTTATTTGTTTGGGATGCATTGAGGTCTTGTATGCCGTAGCAATGATGCTTTGTTGGGTGCTCGTTTTGTATTGGAGTTGTTTGAGACGCAAGGTTGTGTTGATTACACCATTCAAACTTGAGATTCCTCAGCTGTGTTAGTTTGTTGTGTCGTTGATGTTTGCTGGGGAGCATGTTTAATGCTTTCTCCAGCTTTTTCGGTAATGCTTTATCCAGAGTGGTGATGGATTAGGACTGAAGGAATTCGAAACAGCTTCAATCTGGGCGTGAATTTATTTCATGCATCATGCTTGATTTGCTTGAGTTGGCAATTGCGCAATCATCTCATATTGTGTGTCGTGTCTAGGACTTGTCATTACTACTATATATTTTTCAAAAATGGCAAGAGAAAGATGAAACAACGGCAAAAGGAAAAGGGAAGGAGAAAAGCGAAAGGTTAAAGTGTGTTTTGGAGGTGATAATTTAGTTTGGTCACAGCGACAAGTAAGTCCATTCTATCCAAAATTCTCCCTCCGCTCCTAAAACAAGTTTTCTTTTTAGAGATTTCAACATGGACTACATACGGATGTATATAGATGTAGTTTAGAGTGTAGGTTCACTCATTTTGCTCCGTATGTAGTCTATATTGAAATCACTAAAAAGACTTATATTTAGAAATAGAGGGAGTATAAAAGCAAAAAAAGAAGAACCTAGTGTATGGACGCCAAACTCTGCATAAATATATTCGATCTCTCTTACAATTCCCATTACATAACTGTACCACTTTCTATTACATCAGCAAACATACTACTACTACTACTATCATTTAAAGTACAACGAGGACCATACATAATCTTCTTAACGTGGTCGCAGCACCAGGTCAATCACTCCGAGCGCGCACTCCCCAGATTTTATACCAAATTCAGCGCGCAAGCTGTTAGCGACATTGGAGCTTGGCCATGTTTTTCTGCCACTATCTTCCCATTGCACCAGTAATGTACTAAGCGAAGACCAGTTGACCAAATATTTTGCCTGATCCAAGGTCAGGTATGATTCTTCGCTTTCCCACTCCAAAATGTACGCATTGCGTACGGGATGGAATCTTAAGGATTCCGGTCCCATTAGTGTAATCTTGGCCATTGCTAGCTGAACTTCATGCTTGGGAGTGTTAACAGGGTCGTAGTTGCTAAGTACATGGATGGCATCTAGCAGTGATTCCCTACCAAGTGGAACACTAACAAGAAGCAGATGGGCATTCCTTTGATCTCCATTGGGCGCAGTGTGTCCCATTAGCTCTTTGTACGATGAACCAAAGGGGAGAGGGAGGAAAGGCTCTGTGAATAAGGCGTCGTACCCTTTTGCCGTGTGCAGGTTGCTGGTAGTGTTGAAGGCGAGAAGATACAAATCGTCATTACAGAGCCATAAGGTCACCTTGTCGTCCCCCCGGCCCTTCAATGTGGGTTTGAGCCACGTCGCCGGTTGAACTGTTTTTTTGTCGTGATACCCCCTCTGCGGAGCCATGAGGTCGCTGACGTCGCCGATTTTCCTGCGGTAGTCCTCTTCGACACTTTCGATCAGCTGCGTGTGGGTGGTACCCAGAAACCCCGTGTGATGTGAACGGACCGCATCGTGCTCCCATGCGATCTCCGCTCCATGCACAGCCCTGACAAATAAGACAATCATTGCCAAGGTGACAAAAATTTTGGGCCATCGGCCGGCAGCCCCTGCGCAAATGGAAGGACGAACCTGTCAGATTCAGGTTAACTGGAAACATGAAAAAAGTACGGTTTTCGTAGATGCTTACTTCTCGTTGCGCCTTCAAATGCTCCTTCTTCCTTGGTGCCGCGTGCACAGTTTACTCCAGGCATACTGAAGGGTGAAGTGCTGCTCACTGCGATTGTTCGTGGGTTAACAGTCTTTCGAAAACCATTATTGGCTCACCTTATATATGGATTGCTATTAAAAGAGAACACGCTCTTTCTGCTCAAGAGCCACGGCCTTTGGCGCTCGGGTCTGCATGCCCTTGGCTTTTTCTTTTTTAAAGAAACTTTGTCTACTACTTCCTTTGTATACCTCGTCCATTCACGCGTGATCCGCACACAGAAGTGGTGAATCTTCGGAACGTAACCACACCTCACCCACTAATCTTTCTTGATAAGAGCCAATAATGGTTTTCGAAAATTCCTCCCAAGTTTATTTCATTTTCTTCACTTTTTACAAAGGGCAAACTTAATAGCTTTGTTCTAACAAATGCTCCTTTTACTAATTTTGTGCACTAGCTACTTAGGCCAACTCCAACGCATTTCGTCCGTCCCTGTCCGTGTGGGTCAAAACGGACACAAGTCGCGGCCCAACGCGGCGACTCAAAAGAATGGTCGTCTATTTTCTGTGTCCGCGATCCATTTCAGACCCAAACTTGGGTACGTTTTGAGTTCGTGGGACACAAAGCTGGTACACTAGGGCGCTCTCTTTGTCCTTCCCTGCCCTGTCTGTCGGTGAAACATACGCCTCCCCCTACACCTCTCCCGCCCGCCGTAGCCGCTGCCACCCATTTCCTGGCCGCTTCCTTGCTGCCCAGGCCTGCCACCCACCAACCCCCAGCATCGACACAATCCCCCCGGCCCCGCACCCGCCCGCCACTTTTTCGGAGGAGTTCTTGCCGGCGCTTGTGGCCTTTCTCGCCGCTGCCGGTACTAGAGAAACCACGGCCGCCGGCGCCGCCCATCGGCACCAACACCGTCTTCCTGGTCGCCAGTCGCCCTCGTCTCCACTTCTACAGGCCTGCTGCCTGTGCGGGGAGGTCGTGGTGCTCTTCTCCGCCCGCTTCTCCACCATGACCACAAGGTGTTCGACACTTTGCTCGCAAGGTACCATGGATAGTGGGGGCGAGTACTTTTTCAACAGCTTCATTTGTTCATCGGATGGTTCGTCGTCGGATGATGAGGAGCTTGTGGTTGCTGCATTGGTCGTAAATGACCACATTGCTAGGCAGTGACCGAGGTTCAGGGGATCAATCTTGGGTCATGCTCCGGCGTTGAACCGCAATAGAGAGAGTGGTCATTGCGTGCTCTTCGCCGATTACTTTGAGAGCAACCCCCTCTTCAAACCCCATCTTTTTCGGCACCGCTTCCGAATGGTGAGGCATTTGTTCACTCGTATTCGGGAGGGAGTGATAGCATATGATAATTACTTTAAGTGCAAGGAGAATGCCCTTGGTATGGTTGACTTCTCCTCTTATCAAAAGTGTATGCTTGCATCATGTCTCGCATCAATGTACATGTTCTGCAAGGCCGAGGCGGTAGTGTTTGGCCCTGAGTATCTGAGAGAGCCAAGTGCCACAGATACAACTCGGTTGTTGGCGATCAATGCAGATGGAGGCTTTCCAGGAATGCTTGGTAGTATCTACACTCGAGCTCAAATGAGCTCGAGTGAACAGTAAAATCGAAAAACATTTTCAAAATATTCAAAAAATTCTGATTTTTTTGTGGTAAACTTTGACAAATTTTCTAACCGCTTGAATAATTTCACCTTCAGATCATGTTCGTGGAAGGCGTGACAAAAAAAACAAAATCGATGCTCTGAAAATGCTACTTTTGAGCTCATTTGATGCTCATTTGACCTCGGGCTGAGAAAGGACTTTTCGAGAACTGTCAATTTGCTTGGCAGGGGTAGTACAAGGGGCATGTGAAAGGTTGCACTGTCATACTAGAAGCAGTGGCTTCACATGATCTTTGAATTTGGCACTCTTTTTTTTGGCATGGCTGGTTCTCACAATGACATCAACTTGCTTCAGCGTTCTCCATTGTTTGCAACGCTTGCGGAAGGCCACTGCTCAGAGGTCAACTCTGAGATCAATGACCACCAGTACAACAAGTGATACTACCTAGCTGATTGTATTTAGCCTCAGTGGTCAACTCCTGTGAAGACAATATCCAATCCGAAGGAGAGAAGAAACAGATATTTTCCTAGGCACAAGAGAGTGCTAGGAAGGATGTGGAGTGTTCTTTTGGTGTGCTTCAATCTCGATGAACTATCGCTCGACACCCTACACTAACATGGAGCACCGAGAAGCTTTGGGGGTGATGACTGCCTGTGTGATAATGCACAATATGATTATGGAGGATGAGCATGATGACAACATCTACGACCAAGAGTTCCAATTTTAGGCTGAAAATATTGTGCCTGAGCACCATGAACCGATAATGTATGAACAGTTCACCAAATTTCATCATGAAATGCATGATTGGCAAACTCATATGCAACTCCAATGACTTGGTTGAACACATGTGGACTCACATTGACAATCAATAGATGTATTGGTTCATTTTCTTTTGATGTATTCATGACAATTCAAATTTGGCTGTAAAGTTTGTGATTTTATTCGGTTGTGAAACTATTTATTGTTACGGTACCATGTGATTTATTTGGTTGTATAAACTATATGCAATGTTTCTTAGTTATTTTTTTACATTTGGCCGTCGGCCGGCCGGGTGGACTAAATGCGTCGGCCGCGTTGGGCACACTGGCTACGCAACCACAAGAGGTCGGACACCGCCCCTTTGCCTGACCCAAACAGACATAATCAAGACAAAACCGTTGTCCGTTTGGGATTGCGCGTTGGAGTTGGCCTTAGTTCATCTCCAATGCCATCTCCTAAAAATGACAAACTGTGTGTTCGCGGACCACGTGCCCGGACACTATAGGGGAGCCTGCCATCCAACTCTATCTCTTAAATAGGCATCAAATTAACAACAAAGGTGGGTCGGGCACACCTAGAGGACAAAGCACATAGATTGTGAGGACATATGATCCAACTGACAGTGGGCCAGGCGGGCTCCCACATGATGTCTGGACTCCCACAAAGTTCCTTCAAGTCTACTTCTGGTTTGTAAAAAAAAGAACATGCGAACTGGTCCACAGACGTTTAGATAACTGCTTTGGATGTTAAAAAGTGTCCGGACCCATGGTCGGGACCTTTACAAGCTACCCACACTAGCTCCAGCAGCGAAAGAAAGAAATTATGTGAATATGAAGGGAATATACAGGATCAAAGAGAATATTGAAGAGTGGTGTGGATGTAGAGAAGAAACAAGAGTTCGTCCAGAGTAAGGCCTTATTCGGTTCAAATGAATGGAAAACGTAGGAATCGAGGGAACCATAGGAATGACAAAGGAATAGAAGTGCAAAACTAAGGATTCAAAACCAGAGGAAAAATAAATCAATGGGTGTTCGACACATCATAGGAAAAACGGAGGAAGACTCCATCATTAGATGCTTCCCTGTTTGGTTCGGTTGTGGATTTCTAAAAGTAGCTGTGAAAAATCTGCTGTGAAAAAGATGTAGGTCATTTGGAAAACCAGCTGATACAACTTTTTCAGATTTTAGCCCACAGCGGAATCAGATTTTGAAAAGCACGTCCTAGGCTGCTTCCGCTTTTGATTCAGATTTTAGCAGCGGATTTCTGGAATCCAATTCTGCTGGGTTCGCCCTTTGATTCAGATTCTGTTGTGCGACAGCGGAATCCGTCGATAAAAACTGAACCAAACAGGGCCTAAGAAAGCAAGATTCTGAATATTTTATTCTATTGCATGGTGCTTCTCTCATGTAAAGCACGTACCTACTTGTCGGTGTACAAAAATAGGGGCGCATTTTTGTACCCCTTTTCCTGTGCACGGGCAGTCAGAGCCGCGCCCACGGCCACACCAAGCAAAATGAGGGAGGTGAGCCAAGGTAAGATCAAAGCCCAAGACAATCAAAGCAACGCCAAGGCCAAGACCACAAAGAGCAAAGGGACGAAGCAGGTTCCCCCGGCAAGACCCTTGCCGGGACAGCTCGCCCCACACCAACAGAGCGAGCCACCCTTGAGCCCACGACCCCCAGCGCCACCATCAGCGTGGGGCCAGGGCTCGAAAAGGCACCTCTGTGGTGGTATGCAGATCTTTGTGAAGACATATTCAAGATCAAATGAGGATTAGAAGACGATGATTCTCGGCAAGATCCTTGCCAAGGAAGGCCACCAGACCCCCGACAAGATCCTTGCCGAGGACGACAGCACGCCATGGCAAGACCCTTGCCGGGCCACCCGGCAAGGCCCTCGCCAAGGACGCCAGCGGGACCACTGCCAAGCCCACGTCAACCAAGTTTCCACCGCCGTTCACATGCAGTTGCCAGCCCAACCAGCTGGGCGGGCACCTGCGTGGCAACATGCAGCTCCTAGGCCAACTTATCGAGCGCCTGCGTGGCGGCATGCAGATCTTCGTGAAGGCTCCACCACCGCGCCAACTCAGTTGCCTGCCTGCCTACATGGCGCCGCATGCATCCCTGGCCGAGGTGCGTGTCGAAGCGAGGAGGAGCGGCGACGGACGGGACGGGCCTCGCCCCCGTCCCCGATAAAGCAAAGGGACACCTAAGCTACGCATTAAATGCGTCTTGTCCTGTAATACAAGCGATAAGCTCAGGGCACTGTACGCCTTTCCACCTCCTGTGTGCCACCGTGGCAACCCCTTTTTCCTATAAAAGGAGGCCCATGGCATACTGAAGAAGGATTCGGCTCTTTTGAACCACGCGCTGACCACAGCTAGTTCGAGAGCTCAAGAACTCTCAGAAATACACCCAGCAAAGCAGAACTAGGGTTTTACGCATCCTCGCGGCCCGAACCTGGGTAAACGATCCTTGTGTTGTCTACTAGCCCTACTCTCCTCGCAACCCTGCACCCCGGCAACTGTAGTAGGGATTCTTGTGATCCCATAGGTGTCATTCCACACCGACATCTTTGGCGCGCCAGGTAGGGGGCGCAATTGTGAGAATCTGGTCTGGTAGTTAGCCTAGCAGTTCTTCGTCGCTTTCGGTTTCTAAGAAGAAGGCGGCT